ATGTCTCGAGCGAAACGCTGGTTTTGCAGAGCCGACTGCTACGCGGAAAAGCGCACCGCGCGCAGGAATTCCAAGGATGTCTCGCGCGTGCCGCGTCCCGCGCGCAGGAATTTCGAGGATGTCTCGACTAATTTGTTTGTTGTTCTAGGATGTCCTTGAATGTTGGCAGGATGCCTCGAGCGAAATGCACGACCCCACCCTAGCACGACCACACCCCAGCACGACCACACCCCAGAACGACCACACCCCAGCACGACCACACCCCAGCACGACCACACCCCGGCACGGCCACGCCCCAGCACGACCACGCCCCAGCACGACCCCACCCCAGCACGACCCCACCCCAGCACGACCACACCCCAGCACGACCACACCCCAGCACGACCTCACCCCAGCACAACCACACCCCAGCACGACCACGCCCCAGCACGGCCACGCCCCAGCACGACCACGCCCCAGCACGACCACCCCCCAGCACGACCACCCCCCCAGCACGACCACCCCCAGCACGACCACCCCCCAGCACGACCACACCCCAACACGACCACTCCCCAGCACGACCACACCCCAGCACGACCACACCCCAGCACGACCACACCCAGTCGCACCCCCGTGGAATGTTTCGTGGGGTGTTTGGTTGAGTGGTTGCCTGTTCGTGGGGTGTCTCGTGGAATGTTTCACGGGGTGTCTCGTGGAATGTTTCATGAGGTGTCTCGTGGAATGTTTTGTGAGGTGTCGCGTGGGATGTTTCGCGGGGTGTCTCGTGGGATGTTTCGTGAGGTGTCGCCCAGTTGGGTATCGTGAAAACGTGACCATGCTGCACATGTCCATATCCCTTTCCGGATTCGTGGGTCCATCATGTTTCTTCGTGTCGCCAGTGGCTACTGCCTGTGCTCGACTCTTGCATTCGACCCCTTGGACGACGCGCAGCTTTCTGCGTCGCTCGCGAGGGAAAAACTTGATATCGCCACGAGACCCGACCTTGGAGGACAAGTGGGCGCGATTTGCGAGGAAGAGAAAACATATAATATGATTACAGGGCGCATACTGCAGATTCCCGTGCTGTCCGCTTGAAGCTGTGCGAAAAAGTAGCCCCACGAGTCCATCCGGAAACGATGTCCAAACGAGTTGCAGAAAGGTCTGGGTGAGGCGTCGTACCCCAAGATCAAGAGGGGGAGGATGAAGGAGGAATCGGGGAAGGAGCAGGTTGAGGAGGAGGAGGAGGAAGAGGAGGAGGGGGATGAGGGAGGAGGAAGGGTGAGGGACAGGCGGATGAGGAAGAGTGGGAGGACGGTGAGCAGAAAGGCCAGAGGCCTCTTGAATGCCTTTCGGAGTCTCGTAGGATTTCTGTCGAGAGTTTCTTGGAGTTTACTTGGGGCGTCTTGTGGGGGTCTCGTGGCAGTCCCGGAGGCCTCTTGAAGCGTCTTGGGTCCCTGTGGGGGGCCTCTTTGGGCCTGTTGGGGGTCTTTTCGGGGCATTTTGGGTGCATCTGGGGGGCATTTGGGGGGGCTCTTGGTGCCTTCCGGGCACTTCTTTGGGTTGTCTACGGGCGCACTTGGGAGCCTCGGAGGCAATTTTGGAAAAGATCGATCAAACCAGGGGGGCTCCTTAAGTAGCCAAAACCTGAGGTATTGGCCTCCTCGCCGAGCCGAGGCCTCCTGGGGCGTTTTGGGCACCTGGGGGAACTCTTCGGGCTCTCCTGGGGCCTTCTGAGGGGCATCTGGCGGGCCTCTTGGGGGGCTCTTGGGGCCTCTTGGGCACCTTATGGGGCCGTCTTGGGGCACCCTTGGGAAACCCGGGGGCCATTTTGGAGATCGATCAAAGTAGGGAGACTCCTTAAAAGCTTGGACGCTGGAGCCCCTCGCGAAAAGGCGCCGTCCAGACCCAGGGGCAGGGGGAGGGGCGCGCCCCCCCCACCCCCCCGAGGGGGAAAAATGGGGTTGGAAGGGGAAACTCCCTAAACCACTCACGTCCCGAGGGGCTGGTGGGAGTCCTGCCTCGTACGAACTTCTGCCATGCAGAGAGCCGGTCCTGGCTGGAAGGAGTCCTGCAGTTCACGTTCGCACCGTCGCCGACTCTGGGCGATCGGCGCCCTCCCCAAAGGCCGCGGGGCCCCCGCAAGGTAGCTCGGGATGAAAAAATTGGCCATGGTAGAAAACGGTTATGGGTACGGGACCCGCGCCCACCAGGACCCCATCCTCCCATGTGTGATTCAGAGCGTTGGGCCAACGCCCAAGACCCAGATGATGCGCTACCGAAAATTTTCGGTAGCGAGTTTGCATGATGGGGAGCGACCGAAAATCAAAACGAGTGGTCCAATCCTGGTATTGCAAGACGAAGTGCGCGTGATGCCGATACTGGGATTCAGATTCGGGATCTCGGTATTTCGCGACCGATTCTTCGGCATGTTCGCTCCCGAAAACCGACGACGCGAGCGTCCTCCAATCCCGGTATTTCACGACCGATTCTTGCGCCCCTCGATCGTGTGTAAATCGCGCTTCGAACACACATGCGCGTCAAACGTTTGCTTGCCAATCGCTGCAAACGTTTGCTGCGTACGTGTGCTTGTAGGTGTAAACGACTAACCCAGGAACTGAACCATTAACCAAACTACACTAGATTCCGAAACTACTTACATAAAGTACCCACTGCACTCAGCTAGGCTACTGACTACTTACTAAATTATTACTAGCAGCACTGCGCATGCAGATTCTAAACTATTAACCTACGGCTGCGACTTCAATTCGGCCGCGGCTTCAATGCACAACCCGCCTTACTAACTAGCCACCACCACCCCCACCATCACAACCATCGCCATGATCATCGGCATCGGCAGACACACCAGCGTCACCATCATCTGCGTCAACATCGGTATCATCGTGGGCGCCATCGTAAGATCAGTACTGCCACCATCACCACCTGAGCCATCGCCAACACGATCACTACCACACTCACACCAGGCACAATAATGTCGTTGTAGTGGTGCACGTGCAAAGTTCAGTGATGACCGTGTGCATTCTAGTTCGCTGTGTTGGGCCTCCGACGTGCAACTTCTTGGGAGTTTTCAGGACGCCTCTTAGAGCACCCTAGGGGCCATCTCGAAGGATGATTGGCTGCCCCATCCATCTCCTCCGCCTCGTCCACCCACCCTCCTCCATGACTGGGCAGCATGGTTGTGCTTGGGCATATTGTCTAAGTTGTGCCAGTTTTTTTGGGGGGTGGCGGTGGTCTGTGTTGTCGTGATCTTTGATGGGTGCCGCATGTTGTGTAGCATGGTTGCAAGCACTGTTTGGGGCAGCGCGATGAGATTACACGTATGGCATATGGGGCATACATAGGCGCCGCTGGGGCCGTAGGGGCCACTGCGGACTGCGCCGTCCGCAACCATGCGGACGGCGCCGCTGGGGCCGTAGGTGGAGCTCCCTTTGGGGTCACGAACCGTGTGAGGGGTGTGTCAAAGTAGGGCGGCGCCGCCGTGCGGACGGCGCCACTGGTGCCTTTGGTGGGGCTCCCTATGGGGCCACGGCACGTGTGAAAGGGTGTGCCAAAATGGCCGTCGATGATGGTGACGATAACGGCGATAATGGCGATGACGATGATGATGATGATGATGATGATGATGATGATGATGATGATGATGAAGGTGATGGCGACGGCCATGATGATGTTGATGATGCTGATGATGACGGCGGTGACGATGACGATGGTGAGTGATGGTGGTGGGTCGGTGGGGAATGCTGACGATTTTGATTGGTGGTGATCTTCATCATTGTAGCGCTTCGCTATGCAAGTATCGTGATCACCAGTATCAGGTTCACAATCGTATTCGTCAGCGTATCATCATCAACATCATCATCAGCAGCAACATCATCATATAAATCGCCTTTGCAGCATGCACGATTTCGATTATCATTGCCACATTCGTTACTGCACGTCACAGCCATCATTTGAAATTCCATGTTATCCACCATCATGGCCCATAACGTCAACCATCAGTCACTGGCATCATCAACATCATCCTCCTATACAGTGTGCTCCTCCTCTGGCTGATCATCATCATCCACGTGGTGCTCGCCCTCCTGCTGAGAATCCTACATCCTCCTTTTCTCCCTCCTCTACCATATCTGATTTCCGTTCTACCATTCCTCGTAATATTGATTATGAGCAGCCCTTTATCCAGTTCAAGCTTCGGTTTGTAAGGACCCGAGGAAGTCTCCAGCGGGATCCCCGAGTCCGAGGGGCCCAACGCGGTCCCGAGAGGGCCCAAACAGGGCATCAAATGTGCGAAGGGGTGCGCCAACGTGGGGCGGCGCCGTCATGCGGACGGCGCTACTGGGACCTTGGGTGGCGCTCCCTATAGGGCCACGAAACGTGAGTGGTGTGCTACGAAACGTGAGTGGCGCTCGCCGTCATGCGGACGGCGCTACTGGGACCTTGGGTGGCGCTCCCTATAGGGCCACGAAACGTGAGTGGTGTGCTACGAAACGTGAGTGGCGCTCCCTATAGGTGCCACGAAAGCGCAGCCGTCGCGCCAATCCTGCTGCCCTCCTCCTCACCCTTGTTTTTGGGCTGCAAGCTCGCGGCGGTAGCCACGCGCAGCGCGGCCGCGATGGAGCAGCAGCCTCTCGTGGAGGAGCAGCCCAGGCGCGATGGAGCGGCGCGCCCCGCGGCGCCGTCGCCACCTGCAGGTCCGCCCCCAGCCCACTTGCTGGCGGACCGTGTGCCCGAACCGCCAGCGGCGCGCCCCACCGTGCCGTCGCCACCAGCAGGTCCGCCCCCAAGCCACCTGCTGGCGGACAGTGCGGCCGAACCGCCAGCGGCGTGCCCCGCAGGGCCGTCGCCGCCTGCAGGTCCGCCCCCAGCCCACCTGCTGGCGAGGCGTGATGCCGAACCGCCAGCGGGGCCGTCGCCGCCTGCAGGTCCGCCCCCAGCCCACCTGCTGGCGTTGCATGACGCCGAACCGCCAGCGGCGCGCCCCACAACGCCGTCGCCGCCTGCAGGTCCGCCCCCAGAACACTTGCTGGCGGACAGTGCGGCTGGACAGCCAGCGGCGCGCCCCGCCGTGCCGTCGCCACTTCCGCCCCCATCCCGCTTGCGCTTGCTGGGGGACGACGCTTTCGAGGCGTCCGACGTCTTCGATGCGGAGACGTTGCAGGCGGCCGTCGACGCGGCGTGGCGCTCCTGGGCCCGCGCCCGCACCCAGTGGGAGGATGCCGTGTCGGTCCTCGCGGCCGCCGTGGCGGCGCGCGACGCAGCGGAGGCGCGGGCCCGTGCTCAGGCCCAGGCGCCCGTGGATGGGCGGGCGCATTACCACTTGCGCGCGCGCGCCGATCATCAGCCCAGGACGCGTTCGCAGGCGCGCCCTGGGCTGAAGATCGGCGCGCCCGCGCGGGCGATTCTGCGCCCACCCCAGCGGGCCGAGGCTGACCGGCAGTTCTGCAGCCGCAGCCGCAGCCCTGCAGGTCGAGATCGCTGAGACGCCCGTGCCCGAGGCCCCGCATGGGGTAAATGGGGGAGGCGGAGGAGGCCCCCCCCCTCTCCCCCCTCTTTCCTCCCCCCCTCCGTGCTCCGCCCTCCTGTCTTGCAGCGCCCTTGCGGGCCCCATCGGGGCTATCTGGGCGCCTCCGCGGGGCGTCGGCGCTCGGGGGCAATGGTGTCGCGAGGGGCCCCCAGAGGGCCCCGACCTCCGCCGTAATCATCACCATCATCCGCATCAACGTCCGCATTCTCAGCATCGCCCCAACAATCATCATCACCATCATCACCACCATCATCAGCACCATCATTCTCGTCGTCATCGTGGCCGTCACCTCAACCGTTCGCACTGATGATGATGATGCTGCTGATGATGAGAAGGATGATGATGATGATGATGAGGAGGATGATGAGGATGATGAGGATGATGATGGTGATGATGATGATGGCGATGATGACGATGAGGATGATGATGGTGATGGCGATGAAGATGGAGGGGTGAGGGGAGGAGTGGAAACAGGGAGGAGGGGGAGAAGGAAGAATTTAGGAGTGAGTGAGCACGACAAGTATGTTCCCAGCTGCTCTTATTATCTTACTCGCGCTCCCCCCCCCGCTACTCTTGCACCCAGTGGTGCGTCCACTCCTGCTCCATGCGATACCCCAACCTCCATTGCCCCACTTCATTCTAAACTCCGTTTCCAGTGCGCATTATTATCTTCTCCCACTCCCACTCTCAATGCTGGGAGTTCCGTTCCCACTATCGCCAGAAGGAGTGGGGGCCAGAATCAGAAGTATGGTCACCCCTGATCAGGGTTGAGCATGCTTCTGATTCTGACTCCCACTCTTTCTGGTGAGAGCGCGCGCGCACGCAGCGCATTTGGCTGAGTTCCAGCATTTCTGGCACCATGAGTGCCCCACCTGTCCGCCGCCCTGTTCCGGCCGTCAATGCGGCCGACCTCTCCAAGGCTTTCGTGAGCTACGTGGAGGAAGTTGGCTCGAAGAAATCGTTCGTTTTAGGGCGCTACGAGTTTTTGAGGCGGGACTGCGCGGTGCATGCGCGGTCCTTGCACCAGATGGCCGAGCTGGTGGCTGGAACGCAGAAATGCGGGGCGGAGGGGAAGAGGTGAAGGGAAACGACAATGCGTTGGAGGATGGAATCTGGGAAAGACGAGGGATGGCGATGATGCGCACGAGGATTTATAGGAGAAGGAATGAGAGGATGAGAAGGAGGAGGAGGAGGAGGAAGAGGGAATACAGGATGGTGGCGATGAGGAGGAGGGCACCTAGGATAACGACGAAGTGGGTGATAGCAAGGAGAAGGTGAGGATCGACAGGAAGGAGCAGGAAGAATTGGAGCTGCAGGTGGAGGTCTTGCTCAAGAACGTTCCCGAGGTCGACGCCACGTTCTCCGTGCTCCGCACAGCCTGCCACGCTGCGATCGTGGCGCGCCTCGGGTGTAGAAAACGACTTCGGGTTAGCGCGCGGGGGCGGTGGTGTCAGAGGGGGACTGGACTCGGCGATGAAGGGATGGAGGAGGAAGCTCGGGGGTGGGAATTGAGAGGGTGGGAGGTGAGAGAGGATGGGAGGAGGGGGGCAGGAAGATGGCCATAGTAAAAAGGGAAATGCGGAGAGTCAGGGTTGCGAGGAGGATCAGAGCAAGTGTGACGATAATGATAATGAGGAGGAGGAGGATAATGATGATGCGGATGATGCTGCTGAAGATGATCATGCTGTGTTTGATGATGATGAGGATGATGTTGATAGAGGTTATGGTGGCGGTGATGGTGATTGCGGTGATGCTGATGGTGATGATGATGATGCTGCTGATGATGATGGTGACGATTAGGATGATGGCGAAGACGATGACGATACTGATGAAACGAATGATCAGTGTGATGATGGTGGTGATGATGATTATGATGATTCTGCTGATGATGGTGATAATGATCGTGCTTCTCCCTCTCCTGCTTTCTCTGGTACCCCCATCCAAGGTACCCCAAGTGCACCTCGGAGAAGTCCACCGCCTCGGCGGTGGACAAGGCCGCCTCCCTCGCCGACAAGATCGGCGTCATCCTCAAACATCTCCGTCGACTACGGGATTGTCAGACGCGGCTCCGCCAGGAAGCCGCGAGAGGGGGGGGGGGGATTTCGCAGCAGGGGTATTTGGATGAGGAAGTACCCTCATCAAAATCCTCTTCCTCCTCCTCCTCCTCCTCTGCCCTCTCCTCCTACTTCTCCCCCCCCTCCTCCTTCTCCTCCTCCTTCTCATCCTTCTCCTCCCCCTTCTACTACGGCTGCATGTCCTCCCTCAATAGTCCGTGTGGTTCCCCTCCCTGCTCATCGAATCCCTGTTGCGGCTACCGCGCGCTCAGATCCCAAGTGTTACTGTTCTTGATTCTAACCGTGCTTGGAAATCCCCCTAACGTTTGCGCCGATGACTCGGAATTGTTGCTGCCCGCCCATGTCGGTTCACCCTCATTCTAACTCTGCAATCGCCGCCGCCCGCGGTCCCTCTCCGACGGCGCCCCCCGCCGACTAGCCTCCTGCTGGCACCCGACATCGAGGCCAAACCGACCCTTCGCAAACCATCCCCTTCCATGACGTCATCCTCCCCTTTCGACCTCCCCATCGGGCCGCACGCATGCATCTCGGGCGTCGCGGAAAGGGATGTCATGCTAGGGGTCGGTTAGGCCGCCCCTAATCTACCCACGCGCCCGAGAGGCCCTGGCGACGTGCAACGAGAAGGAGGTGAGCTCGATCAACTATTTTTTGCACCTCATGGGCCGCCCGCCTACTGTAGCCCCTTCCCCGAGTGCAGCACCGTCCCCGTTGCCATCCCCGAGGGCGCCGTCGTCGAGAGCGTCGTCGGTCGGGGCCGCTGCCCGACGGTCTCGGTTTGATCCGGTAGCTGGGGTTTCGATCCTTGTCTCTCCTACCCTGATGCTGATGCTCATGATGATGATGGGAAGTGTGATGATGATGATGATGATGATGATGATGATGATGATGGTGATGGTGATGGTGATGATGGTGATGGTGATAATGATGATGCTGATGCTGGTGATGATGGTGGTGGTGATGACCATGAGCATGCACATGATGATGATGTTGATGATTGCGATGATGATGAGTCTGGTGAGTATGATTGTGTTTATGATGGTGATGGTGATGATCTCGATGATGATGCTGATGCTGATGATGCTGGTGATGATGATGGTGATGATGATGAACATGATGCTGATGAGGATGATGATGTGGATGAGGATGAGGATGATGGCCACGCATCCTCACCTCGAGGTGCCGATCGCGGCCCTCCAGACGGAGGTCGACGCCGATCTCGACGGCTCGGGCCCAGACGGCTCGGAGCACCCCGACTGCTCGGTCGACGGCTCCGTGTGCGACGAGGTCCACGACGAGGACCGCTTTGCGTCTTTATCCAACGGGTGAGGGGGAACGAGGAAGAGAGACGAGGACTCAGGCTGGATGGAGAGAGGGGGAGTAGGGAAGGGAAAGTACGGGGGCAGGGAGGGCAGGAAGAGGACCAGACGACACGCGGAGGGTCAGAAAGATGAGGAGGGATCATAATGATGACGGTGGTGGTGATGATGATGATAATGATGATGATGAGGAGGAGGAGGAGGAGGTGGAGGAGAAGGAGGAGGGTGGTGGTAGTAATGATGATGCTGGTGGTGGGGGTGGGGGTGGAGGTGGTGTTGATGATGATGGTGGTGTTGCGGGTGATGGGGGAGACGAGAGTGATGACGATGATGATGATGATGCTTTTGAGTATGATTATGATGCTGATGATACTGACGAGGATTATGCATGTGATTGTGATGATGATGATGAGGAGGATGATGATGAGGAGGATGGTACTGCTGATGCTGATGGTGATGATGATGATGATGATGCTGCTGAAGATGATAAAGCTGGTAATGATCATGTTGGTGGTGATGCTGCTGACGCTGATGATGGGTGTAATGATGAGGATGAGGATAAGGAGTATGACGAGGACGAGGACGAGGACGATGATAGTGGCGATGATGCTGATGACGATGTTGATTATGATGATGTGATGCTGATGATGATTGCAAGGGTAATGACGATGATGACGATGATGCTGGTAGTGTTGGCAAGGATGATGAGTATGATGACGACGATGAGGATGGTCAGTGTGTTGATGGTGAGTATGATGATGGTGGTTTTGCTGAAAATGATGGCTCTGCTTCTCGGTGGCGACGATGATGATGCTGGAGACCGACGGGGGGGGGTATTGCGCCCCCAACCGAAACGGCCCGAGGACTCGAGCGACGAGTACAACGCGAAGCTCGAGGAGCTGGGCGTGCCGAGGGACGACCTCCAGGACTGTCGCGGCCACGGGGGGTGGGGGGTGGGGGTGCTACGTCGCCCTCCTCCCATCCTCCCCTCCATCGCCCTCCTCCCCCTCCTCCTCCTCCTCCTAATCCTCCTCCTCCTCCTCCTCCTCTTCGCCCCCCCCCTCCTCCTCCACCTCCTCGTCCTCCTCCTCGTCCTCCTCCTCCTCCTCCTCATCATCAGCATCATCATCACCATCATCATCAGCAGCATCATGTCTCGCCGCCCGCTGTCAACCCACCTCCTATTTCGCCAGGCCCCGATCCACCCTGCCGACGCCAACCCCTCCAAACTACCCCATGGGGCCTAAGCCGCAACAGCCCCCCCCCCCCCCAGCGGACATCGGGGGGCAAACGAGCCTCACCCCGACCCCGCTCGAAACACCTTGCGGCCCCTAAACCCCTACGCTCCCAGACACGGAAATGAGGGAAGGGAAGGGGCAAAGTGCGGGAGGAATACGCGGTGGCTGGCGAGGACGGGCAAAGGAGAGCGGATGGGAGTGGATGCGAGAACATACAGAAATCGGATGGTAACGCATAGGACAATAGAAGGTGAATGAAGGATGCAACGGAAAATGTTGGTTGTATTCCGTCTGTAGCGTCGACTAGCGTCGAGTAGCGTCTGGGAGTCGATGAGATAGCGCCGACGTTGTGTCGGCTAGCCTCGAATAGCGTCGAGTTAGCGTCGAGTTCGCGTCGACTAGCGTTGACTAGCGCTGACTGGCGTCGATTCGCAAGAGCCGACAATATGGCATGAGAGGCTCCCATGAGTTGCCGCCGAAAGATGCAAATTTTCCGTGGATCACTTTTGGCTCGCAGTGCCAGGCAGAGCCCTGGCCAGGCGCCAGGCGGCGCCCTCTGGGGCCCTTGAGGCCCCAGCATGTCCGCCGATGGCCAGCAGGGCGACGAGCCTGGGTTGGACGACGTTGCCCAGCAGATTTTCTTGGCCGACCGCTGGGCGCAGCTGAAGGCGAGCAAGGACAAGCTCCTCCTCTTCATCCTCCAGGCGTGCGCCCCGTTCCTGGCCGCGCTCCAGCCCGATCGGCGCGACCTTGTGTGCCTGGAGGTGATTGGGTCCACGTCTATCTCCGAGGAGTGCAGCTTGTTCGGCCCGAGCATACCCTACAACGACCTCTACGGCCGCCAGCACGACGTCTTGGGGGACGAGGGCTTCGCGCACCTCCTCGAGCTGAGCCTACGCGTCCAGCAGGGGGGCACCGTGTTCTTTACGCCCTTGACTGCGACATGGCTCCCCTCGGACGCAGCCGCGCAGTCGAGGACCAAAGAGAACCCAGGGGGGGACATTAGCCAGCAGCTCATACACGACGCGAACCTCCAGGTCGAGCGGTGCACCATTGTCGGGCTCATTTGTTGGCTTCGGGGGGTGCCTGAGATCTAAATTCAATGCCCACCCAGGGCGAAATCAACGAGGAGGGGGGAGAAAGGAGGAACGGAAGAGCAGGAGGGGGAGGTGGACGTCGACATCAGGATCACTGAGGATATGTTCCGATTTTCGGCTTCAGGTGCATCAAGCGTGGGTGCGCCCGAAGCCGTCGATCCTGTGGGTGCACAAGCCAGTGCATTGCTTGCGGACCTTGGTTGCCAACGTCACGAGTCTCACGTGCCTCGGTGGTTTTGGAGGCGATACACTCGGGGAGATTCACATTATTTCTGATGATGCGGCGTTCAGGGGTCTGGAGAAGGCCGCTGGGGGGAACAGAAATACTCGGTGGCACACCCAATACCCCCCCCCCCCGTCGAACCCTACATGGGTGCCCGCGTCCCCGTTGCACCACCCCCATTGCAAACTTCCGCTGTGATTTCTGTTGCCCTCCGAGGCAAAACCATCAAGCTACGAGTTCCAAGCTGCGCCCGCGATCAGAGGCGCATTCATGCCAGAGTTTCCGATTCAGTTCGTTCAGAAGTGCGCCGAGATCATTCGCGGCCTCTACATGGCAGATCCAGCCAACCAGGCCCCGACGGAGTCTCCGATGCCAGCGTCCAGTCGCCCTGTTGAGAACAGCGGATCGTGCGAGACCATTTCTTCGGAGGAGCGGCACCGCAATCGATGGCCTGTACCACCCTCCCTCTTCATTTTTATCGGTGCCTTCATCCTCCTTCTCGCCCTCGCACCCGGACTCTTATTCCTCCTGCCCTTGGCGCACCTCCGCCTGTGATAGCCCCTCCCCTTCTCGCCTTCAAAGCTCCCGCCCCATTCTCGTACTCGCACTCCTCATCGTCGACACCCCCCTCGGCCTATCTTTGTCGAACGCTAGGACGCGTCGGCTACCCCCAAGAGACGGCGCCTGAGGGAGAAGACGAGCCCGCCCGAGCAGGTCAGCCAGAAGCCAGCCGATGAGGCGCAGTCCGATCTTCTGCCGAGCTGGGCGCCAGCACCATGCAGCACGGCAGACGACTGGGCCATGGAGTACGCTCGGCGTCAGGCGAAGCGCGAGAGTTCGACGCGCCCCCCGCGCAGCAGCAGTTCTTCCTGGACGTCGAGGCCCGACGTGCCCTGGGCGGAGGTGTGCCCATCGCCCGCCGAGCGGATCATGGCGCGCCAGCTTGGCTTCAAAGTTGGCACCCAGCCAGCCGGGGCCGCCAGGAGTCCAGAACCCCAGCCTCTCGAGCTCGGGGCCTGGGTCAAGGGCCAGACTCCGCGCGGCGACATGGGCTCGGACACGCAGCCCCCCGTGGAGCAGCCAGAGCCACCAAGTCCCGAGGCTGGACAGGAGAGTAGTGGCCAGAATGACACAGAGCAGGAGACGAAGCTCGCGCAGCACCTCGAGGAGCCGTCGGCCGACACCCCGAAGCCGCTGGAGGACCAGTCGAAGGGCCCAGAACACATGGCTGCGCCATCGTGCACGCAGCAGCCAAACCCGCCGAAGAACCACGAGCCGACGATCCCGAAGATGCCAGAGCAGCAGCGCGAGCAAACATCGATGTTGACGCAGGGTGGAGCAACGGCCGAGACACCCGAGCTCAGCGATCATGAGATGATTAACTTGGCGTTCTGGCTGAAATTTGATCGCTTCAGGGACTGAAGCGCTGCCCGTGCACGCAGGTGCAACAAGTTCCTCCACTGCGGTCGGGCAGCGTCATCATTTTTAACCAGATACCCCAGCGCTATGACATGGAGGGGGGCGAGTTGTGATTCAAATCAACATAATACCCGCTCTGACTGCACTGGAGGAACTTTCATTCATTTTCTTATTCGTGGGAAGCCAACGCAATGCACTCGCAGTGGACGGAGTGCACGTTGACGGGAAGTTAAGCATCATGTTGTGCTTGTGAATTTCGCATCAGCATCACCATCATCAGCAGCATCACCAACAACATCATCAGCGTCATCTCGGTAATCATCACCAGCATCATCAGTCTGGGCATCAACATCATCATCTGCATCGTCATCATCTCCAACCCTGTCACCACCATGTGTAATCGTACTCGGTTTTAAGTTGTCAGGGCAGCTGCCTTTCGGAATGATGACGTGCGTACGCATCATATTTCTGGGGCTGTCCGAATCGCGGTGGCCCTGGACCGTGTCGAATGGAGGCTTGACGATGTACGCCTGGCTTGCGGAGTGAGAGGGCGGACATATGACGGGGGGCGGCGGAATCGGGGGATGAATGCGAAGAGGGACGTTGACATAAGATGATGGACTGACTAGGAAAAAGGGAGGGAGGCGAAGGACAATGACCGAAGGAGGCAAGAGGGCTGAGGAGCCAGTGGGAGAGTGAGGATGAGGCAACCTCCCGTCAGACGGGGCCCCCTCCCGCCACCGCGCCAGGACGTCTGCCAGTGGCTGATGGAGACCCCCGCCACGGTCAAGAGCACCGCGAAGAAGAACGTGCATGATCAAGACACCACGCCGCCCAAGAATGGCGCCAAGGACCCGTCCCGTCTACTGGCCATGGCAAAGATGGCAGACCAGATGCCGACGAGGAAGGCGCGGGGCATGTTCTTTGAATGGGACAGCAACTGTGGTCATGGGATGTTGTTGCTATCCGTGTCTGCTCGTTAGGTCGTGGGCCCAGCTCAAGTGCGCTGCTGGTTCGTTCGGAAAGCGTAGGTAGGGTGGCGAACTGGTGCGTGCAATGGCTGATTGGATTGGCCGATGGGCGTTCCAGATTGGGTTAGTTGCGCCCGTGGGACCCCAGCTCATTCGGAGACCGTTTCAGATTCGACCGACGATGCAGACCAGTGATAGGATAGCAGCGGTGGGGAGGGCGATGATGAGGAGGATGATACTGCTGAGTATAGTGGTGGTTATGAAGATGATGATGATGATGATGATGATGATGATGATGCTGCTGATGATGATGATGGCGATGATAAGGATGATGACAATGCTGATGATGATGATGTTGACGATGATTATGATGATGGTGATGATGGTGATGATGATGATGGTGATGATGATACTGAGGAGGATAAGGAGGATGAGGAGGAGGACGAAGAGGAGGTAACAGCTGCGGCGCCTCGCCCCCAACCCGCCGCTGTCTCTGAGAGGCCGTCATACAGAAGCTGAAGAAGGAGAAGGCCACCATCAAGAAGGAGAAGGCCACCATCCAGAAGGAGAATGCCACCATCCGGATGACGAAGAAGGAGAAGGCCGTCATCCAGAAGACGCTCAAGCAGACGGCCGTCATCCAGAAGACGCCCACTGGGAAGGTCGCCATCCAGAGGACGCCCAAGACGGGCAGCTCCAAGAAGTTGATCGAGGACAATGTTGCCGTGGACAGCGAGCCCCTGGTCAGGAGCTGGAAGCACCCGATCATGGGGGACATCGTTGCTGTTTATGGGACCCACAAGAGTTACTCTCTTTTTTTCGATGCTGAGCAGAAGCGTCGTCTTTTCGTAGAGTGCAGCGCGTCGCATACCCCAGAGCACGCCGAGCTTCTCATGAAAATAATGAAGCAGTCTTGCTCGAAGAAGCTGAGCAAATCTTCCACTGTGCTGCTCCGTGCTCAGATGCTGGCAGCCGATCGGGATTGATCTATCAGTCGCAGCTTTTGAGTGTACAGTATCTGTGCTGTCAGCGTCTTTGCAGCGACGTGGCATGACATGTGTCGCGATTGGGGGCTGCGCAGGGATGCACGCTGCAGGCTCGGCAGACAATGCGCTTCGATTGCGGGTTGTCTGTACTGTGCACGTTCGGTGACATTTTGCATGTACGTATACGACTCTCAGAGTCTGAACATGCTATGCCTGAAGAGTAGGAGAGCTCTCAGAATGGATGTGGCGTGTACCACGATGCGCTCGGACTCATCGCCCGATGTCGAAAAAGTCCCAGGATCGTCGTACTGAGCCAGGAACTCCGATGTGCACCCTGCTAGCCTCAGGGTCGAGGAGGTATGTGTTCCAGATTTCTTGTAGAACTGGCAGTCGGGGCGCTGAAGAAGGAACGAATGTCGTTGGGAGGGCGATTTGTGTTCCTTACGTGTGTCACAGTCTCCTTAAGGTGTTCAGTAAGCTTTCGATTGAACGCCGAAGTTTAACGCATGGGAAAAGGGCCCCCGCTCCTTAATTAGGAATCCTTAGGTCAGCGCCCCGACTGCAGGAGATACGGATAGCAAGGTGGCGACACCACAAGCCAAGACAACGTCGATCGGTTTGGTAGCCCGTGCACCCTGTTCATGCCACACCCTCCCACCCCCCCACCCCTATAGAGCTCTCGTTCCAAAACGCGGGGGCATCGCAATTATATCAGCGTTCCTTTCCCGTGCTCATCATCATCATTCCTCTATTGAGCATGTCCTCCCTGCTCCTCCTCGCAGTCATCCGCGTCGCCATTGGGCACCCGCGGGGCCACACCTTCTAATGTCAACGTGCCAGCCATGATACCAGCTGGCACCATATTGCAACGTTGTGGGGTCGAATAACTAGGCGTCCACTTGCCGTGCATAGTAATGCATAACATATGCGGTCGCACACCGAGGGGGGAATCAATCTAAGGTGCAGGTGAGACATGGGGGCAACAATACAAACTGTGGGCGTCAAGTAACTACAGGAACTCTGGCAATTTACTAACAATCGCCGAATCAAACAATATGCATGCATGAATCGCCCATTCATACCGACAATTATAAGCATATTGTCACGCGTGGGCGATACATACGCAATGGGTTATGCAGTTTGTGAGTCCATAAATAGATATGCACATGCGTCGCAAATATTCGGAATGCAAGCACCTAATAATAAGTTTTGTGGATATTTCAGCGCCACGTCGCACATCACATGTGCATGTGAAATGTCGGCGACAAACGTTTGTCAAACGTTTGTCAAACGTTTGTCAAACGTTTGTCACAAACGACAAACGTTTGTCGTTTTTGACAAACGTTTGTCGTTCGAGACAAACGTTTGACAAACGTTTGACAAACGTTTGTCAAACGTTTGGTGCATATTTTTCAATACTAAAATTATTGTTCAGACCTGGTAATTAGTGTTGCACGAACTAGCTAAAATACGTGTCCATGTGTTATGAATTGAGTGGTTTGGCTATGCCCTAGTACCTACAATTAGGATTGTATTGTTAGGTGAGTGTGGCACACGTGCACGTATTTGCATCGTTGTGGCGTGAACCTCGCACGCAACCCACTGCAACATATTCCCTCGACACGCTCGGAAAATATCACCTCGCACATTTCAGTGGCGGTGTGTTCGAGTTGATTTGGCTCCAGGCGGGGTCGCCGAGCATATCCTAGATTATACTCTCGGTGCGCTGGCAGATTCCGCCATGCCTCCAAAGGGCTCGAAACGGGGTGCTCCAGTGATCAAGGTTCGCTTTGGGTTTAGTTGTGACCAGTTGGATTGTGCGGCAGGCGTTGCGAGTTGTCCCTTTAATGTTGCAAACTGGCGCAGCGGTTTGTGCGCCGCGTCAATTCGCAACTTGAAAAGGGGCTGCTCGCAGCGGCTGCCGCGCACATGATTTTGCAAAGCGTGCATCCTCCTTGCCAGGCCAACTTGAAGAAGACCGCCA